GTCAGAATTTTAAGTTTTTACAAAAAAGTCAGAATTTTAAGTTTTTACAAAAATGTCAGAATTTTATGTTTTTACAAAAAAGTCAGAATTTTAAGTTTTTACATAAAAAGTCAGAATTTTAGTTTTTTACAAAAAGAGTAGGAGCCTGTGACTTCAGATGGTCATTGATGAATCTACACTGCAGCTGAGTGCGCATGAGACGGGGAACTGGGTTATCGCTCAAGAGGGTTTCAGAAGCTTCAATCGTCCCAACAGACTGTATCTGGGACCGGCGTGTCTCTCAACGAACATTGGATATACTCTGGAGTGTAGTAATGTAACTCAGTATGAACATGACCTGTATATGGGCAGCTCCTGCTCAGGGCTTTCTTTAGATATTCTCAGCCTGAGTTTAGACACTTGTATATATAAACTTAACACAAAAAGTAAGGACATTTGTGTTTCTTTGTTGTAACATGGTTTTCTTGCTCCTCACACATTCATTTGAAAGGTAAGAAAACGGGCTTTCCAACGATATAAGATGTATTGTTGTTAAGTTTATATATTGTATATATGTATAACTGCTGGATATCTCAAGGAGCAGACTGGAGACAGCAGCTTGTGGTTTGGGGTGTTTTCATATCGTGACAGACACCACGTATTGACCCTCTTTGGACAGCATGCCTCCTCATTAAGGAGGTCAGGTTATATAATCAAACGATGTTGCTCTCTGCAGTGATCATGTGTATGCACTATGCAGTGGTCTGAAAGCGTACAGCGCCTGCATGACCTAGGGCCGACCCCTGGAGATGGGGTCGGGTAGAAAGTAGGGAACAGCTGAGGCGTTGTGCCGATGACCTCGGGACCTGGAGAGTGGGTTGGGAAAGGCCAAAGCAATGAATAAAGTCGATGACAAACACTACTTCAAGTGTCACGTCTCTCTCACCGTGAGCTCAGCAGCTGCAGAGTGTCAATGAACAAGTGGAGTCCTCCTCCAGCAGAGCAACACGCATATATATAGGACATCAAACTGATACAACTGATCAAACCGTGCAAGAGGAGGTTTTGAGATGTGCACGTGAATACAAATACAATAGAAATAGTGCCAGAAGAGTCGGATGCTCTTAACAAAGTGCAGGAGTCTAATAGTCTCATGTGTGCTCTGGGGGTCTTTAGACCTCGTCCTCACCTTGCTCCCCAGGAAGTGGCGGGGCAGCGTCCAGAAGGAGTCGAGGTTGAGGAAGCGTCGGGACAGATCCACCAGCTGGAACTCCTGCAGCTCGGGGTTCACCAGCAGCTGGGTGGAGGACAGGGGGGGGGTGCCGGGGCGCGAGGGGTACGACACCTTCACTCCTGCAGGAAGAACCACCCGTCAGCATAATTCAGCCGCCACAGAGAACACTTGGAAGTATGCTACTGCAGTCATCTTCAAATCAGCTAACTCCTTTGTTGAAATCCTCTATGTCACAGACAGTCTGGTCGTCTGGAGAGTCGTTTCACTCTGTGCTTTCTGAACTGGGCTTTTCCATTTTGTTGTTTTAAAATGAGGGTTTTTCAGTCGGTGGCTTTAAGGATGCTTTTATTGTCTCGTGCTTTTACATTTGTTTATTTTGTCTAAATGTATATAAGCTGCTTTTTGATAAATGCATTGATGTGCAGCACTTTAGTCAACTCTGGTGTTTTTAAATGTGCTGTATAAATGAAGTTGGATTGGATCGTGTGCCGTAAGCCATGTTCCTTGGTTTCATCCTTTAGTTTATTTAAAGAGACCTTTATACCATGTCTGTTATCAGTTTGTTATTTAGCATATGGTCTGATTTAGCATATGGTGTTATTTAGCATAGGGTCTGATTTAGCATAGGGTCTGATTTAGCATAGGGTCTTATTTAGCATAGGGTCTGATTTAGCATAGGGTCTGATTTAGCATATGGTCTGATTTAGCATAGGGTCTGATTTAGCATATGGTGTTATTTAGCATAGGTTCTGATTTAGCATATGGTCTGATTTAGCATATGGTCTGATTTAGCATAGGGTCTGATTTAGCATATGGTGTTATTTAGCATAGGTTCTGATTTAGCATAGGGTCTGATTTAGCATATGGTGTTATTTAGCATAGGTTCTGATTTAGCATAGGGTCTGATTTAGCATATGGTCTGATTTAGCATAGGGTCTGATTTAGCATAGGGTGTTATTTAGCATAGGGTCTGATTTAGCATAGGGTCTGATTTAGCATATGGTGTTATTTAGCATAGGGTCTGATTTAGCATAGGGTCTGATTTAGCATAGGGTCTGATTTAGCATAGGGTCTGATTTAGCATATGGTCTGATTGAGCATAGGGTCTGATTTAGCATAGGGTCTGATTGAGCATATGGTCTGATTTAGCATAGGGTCTTATTTAGCATAGGGTCCGATTGAGCATATGGTCTGATTTAGCATAGGGTCTGATTGAGCATAGGGTCTGATTTAGCATAGGGTGTTATTTAGCATAGGGTCTGATTTAGCATAGGGTCTGATTTAGCATAGGGTCTGATTTAGCATAGGGTCTTATTTAGCATAGGGTCTGATTGAGCATAGGGTCTGATTTAGCATAGGGTCTGATTTAGCATAGGGTCTGATTTAGCATAGGGTCTTATTTAGCATAGGGTCTGATTGAGCATAGGGTCTGATTTAGCATAGGGTCTTATTTAGCATATGGTCTGATTTAGCATAGGGTCTTATTGAGCATAGGGTCTGATTGAGCATAGGGTCTTATTTAGCATAGGGTCTGATTTAGCATAGGGTCTGATTTAGCAGTGTCTCCGTTTCTATTCTGTTATATCTTGTAATGTCGTGAGGGTCTACGGTTTGGGATCCACGGCACCTTTGAAGTCCTCCTCCTCGGTGAAGCGCAGGCTGATCTGGTTCCGGTAGCGTCCGGTGCCTTTGCAGTTCTTGGAGAGTCCGGCACAGAAACAGGAAACACAGCGACCCTGAACACTGAAGTGACCCGAGGGACAGTTCCCTGCAGAGCCAGAGGAACACGGGGTTAGAGGGTTAGGAAGGGGGTTAGGAAGGGGGTTAGGAAGAGGGTTAGGAAGGGGGTTAAGAAGGGGTTATAGGGTTAGGAAGGGGGTTAGGAAGGGGGTTAGGAAGAGGGTTAGGAAGGGGGTTAGGAAGAGGGTTAGGAAGGGGGGTTAGGAAGAGGGTTAGGAAGGGGGTTAAGAAGGGGTTAGAGGGTTAGGAAGGGGGTTAGGAAGGGGGTTAAGAAGAGGGTTAGGAAGGGGGTTAGGAAGGGGGTTAGGAAGGGGGTTAGGAAGGGGGTTAGGAAGGGGTTAGGAAGGGGGTTAGGAAGAGGGTTAGGAAGGGGGTTTGGAAGGGGGTTAGGAAGGGGGTTGGGAAGAGGGGTTAGGAAGGGGTTTAGGAAGGGGTTTAGGAAGGGGTTTAGGAAGGGGGTTAGGAAGGGGTTTAGGAAGGGGGTTAGGAAGGGGGTTAGGAAGGGGGTTAGGAAGCGGTTTAGGAAGGGGGTTAGGAAGGGGTTTATGAAGGGGGTTAGGAAGAGGGTTAGGAAGGGGGGTTAGGAAGGGGTTTAGGAAGGGGGTTAGGAAGGGGTTTAGGAAGGGGGTTAGGAAGAGGGTTAGGAAGGGGGTTAGAGAGAGGGTTAGAGAGGAAGTAAAATGGTTAGGAGAGGATGTACCAGGGTTAGGAGAGGAAGTTAGGAGAGGAGGTACCTGGGTTAGGAGAGGAAGTAGTACCTGGGTTAGGAGAGGAAGTTAGGAGAGGAGGTACCTGGGTTAGGAGAGGAAGTAGTACCTGGGTTAGGAGCGGAAGTTAGGAGAGGAGGTACCTGGGTTAGGAGAGGAAGTAGTACCTGGGTTAGGAGAGGAATTTAGGAGAGGAGGTACCTGGGTTAGAAGCGGAAGTAGTACCAGGGTTAGGAGCGGAAGTAGTACCAGGGTTAGGAGCGGAAGTAGTACCTTGGTTAGGAGAAGAGGTACCTGGGTTAGGAGAGGAAGTACCTGGGTTAGGAGAGGAGGTACCTGGGTTAGGAGAGGAAGTACCTGGGTTAGGAGAGGAGGTACCTGGGTTAGGAGAGGAAGTACCTGGGTTAGGAGAGGAGGTGAGTGTCAGCACGCCGTCGGGGATCCCGAACACGAGTCCTTTGGCGTTGATGGCCTCGCAGGTGTAGGCGCCCTGATCCGCCTCCTTCACGTCGCGTATCGTCAGCGTGCCGTGCCCGTTCTCATTGGTGATCGAGATCCTGGGAACACAGTGGATGGAGAGGGGTTCGGTGCAAACTATTGTCTCATTTCTATATGCTTTGCTTTCCACTGCTTAATTTAAAGCATGTTGTCACGTGTTTGCACGTCTTGGTTATGAAACTTAATAAACAGAGTTTTGATTGAGATCTTAGGAACACAGAAACACATCATCTCTGTTATAGAAATACTGATTAGCTTTCAAAGATGTATTTAGCTCTACACTCATGACCGGAATGGCAGATTGGCCGGAGGTTCGACTTCACTCTAAATCATTATTGGTCCCCAGGTAGTACGAGTCCTGACTTCAGCTCTCTGTAATAATCTGCTGCTGTAGAGTTACACAAAACTCCATCCAATCAGCACTCAGTTTCTCACCACACACACAGCAGCCGACGCCCAGAATTAACATAAATCTCTCTCAGTAATTAAAGACACACGACCTAGTGTTTAAGAAAGAACAACATGCTGAGGCACATTTTGTGTACTCCTATGTGAAATAAAAAGTGATCACATTTTACGACAAATGTTCGTTACTAAGTGCTTGTTATCATCAGTTTATGCGTAAAAAACAATCGTCATGTTCCACTGCAGATTAAACAGCCTTTATTAGTGATTTGTATTTTAAGAAAGGCTTTCTGTACATGAACAGTGCTTTAGGTAATGCGTTGAGAATATATATATATATATTTGTGCAATATAAATACCATTACAATCATCTGAATATTTGTATTGATTCAAATGAAGTGTCTACAGTTGTACAGAGGGAGGGTTACCTGCCGCTGAGGGGGATGTGGCCCCAGTTGAGTCTCCAGGTGATGATGGGGGTGGGCACTCCCACAGCCTGACAGGAGAACGTCACCGTCCCCCCCCGCGCCACCTCAATGGACTCTTCCGGCGGGCTGGTCACAGAGGGAGGGGCTGCAAAGAGCCAGGAAGACGGTTCAAACACAGAATAATGGACATGGGAACGGGACAGGAATGCAGCGAGGCGGCGGGATCATGATGTCAGGGGAATATCATAACTCTGCTCTGAGGACGGACAGTCAACCCTCAGTTCTCAGGAATGGACGTCCCACAAACAGCTCAGTGTCTCAGAGGAGACGAGTGTGAAGAGAAGCTCAGAGACAATGAGTCACAGAGATCTCAGAGGGACACACGACAACACTTTGATGGTCAGATCAAGTCTGAAATGTGACTTGCATCACAGCAGCTCCATGTGTAACATCAACATGGACACATATCAAGACACAATACGTGAACAACAAACATTTGGCGTAAAAGCACAATCACTGAGCCAAAAAACATGTCCTCCGTTTTCTTGGTGTTGATCTCAAGAGCGTCGTCATCAGTCCACCTGACGCACAGCCTGCTGGAGCCGCTCAGAGAGACAGAAGACAGATTGAGACTTACTGCAGCCGTATTCGTCCGACCGGTCGGGGCAGTCCGGCTCGTCGTCGCACTGATAGCTGGCCGGGATACAGGTCCGGTCGCTCAGACACTCAAACTGCTCCGGAGCACAGCGGTCCCCGGGGCCCTTCGTGGCTGCAGGACAAAAACAATCAAACGGTTCAAAACAACTTGACTTGGCTCGGTCTGTTCCCATGTTGTAAATGTATCACCTGATTATGAACAAGACAGTAGGCGTGTTGTAAGACATATCGACATGAACTCAACCTTCCTTTACGTTTTTCACTCAATGTAAGATATAGAAGAAGGAACCCTTAACAGACCCTCAACCAGAGGGGAAGTGTACATTCTGCATCTGACCCATCCTAGTGTGGGCTGCCATATGTACGGTGCCTTGCTCAGGGACACCTCGGTAGCACCTGGTCTTTTGGGGACTTGAACCGGTGGCCTTCCAGTTCCTAAGCCAAGTCCCTACAGACATTGGCATTCATCAATTTAAATAATCGCACAAAATGTGGACTTTGAGTATTTTTAAGTTATTTGTAATTGACTAATTGTCGATGTTTGGACTTGCCATACAACATTTTCTAGTTTTCGATTCATGGTGCAACTCATGGATATGTCTTTGAGTTTTATTTGACCTTTATAGACGTCATTTAGCCATGACCGATCATTTCTGAATGATCGACTTATTGACTTGCAGTATTTTGAGCTATTCCTTTGAAAGACCAATACATTTAAAGTAATGGAGACTCACGGCAGTCTGTCTCGTCTGAGTTGTCCTCACAATCGTTGTCTCCGTCGCAGCGCCACAGCTTCAGGGCGCAGCGGCCGTTCTTACATTTGAACTCGTTGGGTTCACATGGAGAGGGAGTTCCTGTGGAGAGATGGAGAGTTACAGGAAGATCTTCACACAGGTATAAGACAGCGAGAGAGAGGGAGAGAGAGAGGGAGTTCCTGTGGAGAGATGGAGAGTTACAGGAAGATCTTCACACAGGTATAAGACAGCGAGAGAGAGGGAGAGAGAGAGGGAGTTCCTGTGGAGAGATGGAGAGTTACAGGAAGATATTCACACATGTATAAGACAGCGATGTCTGAGAGTATGGCGTTCTTTTTGTGCCTCTATCCTGAGAACGCAATGACACATTTTGAGCATAGAAAATGTTATTGAGCGCGAGAGAGAGGGAGAGAGAGAGAGAGGGAGAGAGAGAGGGAGAGAGATGGAGAGAGAGAGGGAGAGCGCGTGCAGCGGTCTGCTTGCGCACAGAGCAGCAGTTTGTGGGCTTAGAGTTAATTGTGTTTGCAAAATATATTTTATGTGCTCAAAAATGTTAAATTGCGCTCAATAACGTTTTCTATGCTCAAAATGTGTCATCGCTCAGGATAGAGGTGCCATGAGAGCAAGAGCAGGCGCCATGAGAGCGAGAGCAGGCGCCATGAGAGCGAGAGCAGGCGCCATGAGAGCGAGAGCAGGCGCCATGAGAGCGAGAGCAGGCGCCATGAGAGCGAGAGCAGACGCCATGAGAGCGAGAGCAGGCGCCATGAGAGCGAGAGCAGGCGCCATGAGAGCGAGAGCAGGCGCCATGAGAGCGAGAGCAGACGCCATGAGAGCGAGAGCAGGCGCCATGAGAGCGAGAGCAGGCGCCATGAGAGCGAGAGCAGGCGCCATGAGAGCGAGAGCAGACGCCATGAGAGCGAGAGCAGACGCCATGAGAGCGAGAGCAGGCCCCATGAGAGCGAGAGCAGGCCCCATGAGAGCGAGAGCAGGCGCCATGAGAGCGAGAGCAGACGCCATGAGAGCGAGAGCAGGCCCCGGGCTCTGCTGCATTTTAGTCACGTCTTGTCCACTGATCTGAGCCATGGGTAAAAACGTGAACACAGAATGTATGTTTTTTCTCCGTATCGAAACACGTCACTCACCACATCTGTTCTCGTCGCTGCCGTCGTTGCAGTCCCTCTCCCCGTCACAGATGTAATCTCGGGGGATGCACTCTCCGCTCTGACAGGTGGCCTGGTCGGCCCTGCAGGGCCCCGGGGGGCTGGGGGGCCGCACTGGCTTCCTGCTGGTGGTGGTGGGAGTCGTGGGAACGATTGGAGGAACCGTCTGCCTTGTTTCTGAAATACATCTCTAATGTAACGTATGCACCTGTGATATGATGGTCATATGTTTAAAAAACAGTGGTAGGTAGCCTCGTAGCTGCAACTGTTAGTCAACCATGCTACATCCGTATTACAGCCGTGTTACAGCCGCGTAACAGCCATGTTACAGCCGTATTACAGCCGCGTAACAGCCATGTTACAGCCATATTACAGCCGTGTTACAGCCGCGTTACAGCCGTATTACAGCCGCATTACAGCCGTATTACAGCCGCGTTACAGCCGTATTACAGCTGCGTTACAGCCGCGTTACAGCCGTGTTACAGCCGCGTTACAGCCGTATTACAGCCGCATTACAGCCGTATTACAGCCGCGTTACAGCCGCGTTACAGCCGTATTACAGCCGCCTTACAGCCGTGTTACAGCCGCGTTACAGCCACTGTCTCTCACACTCACCACAGTTGTTCTCATCACTCATGTCTCTGCAGTCCGCCCGGTTGTCACACAGATACTCCATCAGGATGCAGGTGCCGTCACCACACTTGTGTTCATCTGTCATGCAGGGTCTGATGGCGGGGGTTACTGAGGGAGAGGGGGGGCAGCATGGAAACATCAGACACATGCAAGCTAAGGCTACAGCCGTTACACTACAGTCACATCACAGCCGTTACACTACAGTCACATCACAGCACAATGAAACACATCCAGAGCTGCAGACATGTCGTTGCGCTGCGAGGTACAGAGGGGATCTTCAAGGACAGGAGGACATTATTATATTCATGTTTTATTATAAATATGTGTTTTGCATTGAGTTTTCTGTAAAGTGTAATGTTCACTTTGTGCTATAGGGAAAGATGGACTGGATGTATTAGAGACATATTACATGTATTGAAAATTAACAATAATAATAACAAAGGAAGGACAATTAGCTCCAAGTATCCTGGAACTATTTATTCAAACTGGGATTTCATTAAAAGTTGACGCTCTTTTTGGAAACAGAAAGCCTAAATGTGGTCGGACAACCAAAGCAGAGCGATGTGAACCCTGTCTCCTGAGTGGAGAGATACATGAAAACGCTTCTCTATCAGTTGCCATGCCTGTGTACAGAATCTACTGCAGTGAACAGCAGCCTTCCTCTCCAAACTCATGCCATGCAAAGACCCTCCTATCCTCGGTGGGCTACACTCAGACACTCAGAAGTCACATTGGTGCTTTCATGCAAAACATTCCTCAAAGTAAAGGTCATCTTTCCCCACGGGGGGGGGGGGGGATGCGCTGGGCTGTCTCTCTAAAAGGCACTACAGTCCTGCTACAGTCCTACAGCCTCCATGCAGAGCACTTTACCAACCTGGCACTGCTATAGGCTCCACTGGAGGCGGAGTCTTAACTAGAAACCAGAGGGAGAAGTTAAATGTCTCCTATTGTGAGAAATGCACTTTTTATTTGTCTTTTATATATAAATAAGTGTCAGGAAATAAACCCCTCTCTCTTTTCCTCCGTACCCACATCTCTAAAAACGGGGACCAACGGAGCTGATCCAGATTTGCTGCGTTACATTACTAAAATGTGGGCGGGCTTTACACCCACGGGCCAATCAGAAACATTGCTGTCAGAAACAATGAGACGTGTTCTGGAAGTAATATGGTCTGTGTTTACATTAGCATGCTAACACTCAGAGCTAACCTGTGCTGGAGAGAGTGGGGTTCATTATTATTTTTATTTTTTAAAGCTACAGAATCATGTCTTTAGTAACAGCTGCAATAGAGGGGGAAGAGGCAAGAATGATCTGTTTGGTATTTTGAGCAGAACACTTCATAGACATGTTTTTTATATATATCTGAGACCTCTAATATATGCCTACAAATAGCATGACAGGAGACCTTTAAAGACACTTCCTGACGCTGGGACTAACGTCTCCTCTGAGAACCCTCACCTTCCCCCAGCTGTCTGAACTGGAAGCCCTGCACCGAGGTGACGTAGGAGGCGATGGCACCCTCCTTCACCACGTTATACAGGACGCTGCGGATCTGCTCGTCGTTACTGTTGTAGTCGGAGCCCACGTCCAGCTCCACGAACACGTCCACGCCGTCCTCTCTGATCATCTTCCTGCAGAGGAAACAGTCAGAAACAATGAGAGAAGGGGCATCATGGGAGATGTAGTGTTCAGCTTCAGTGCTGATGGTTCAGGGGGTCTGTGTCCTTATCTCCTCTGAATCAAAGCGTTAAACTAAAAAGTGAATACAGAAGTTTAATCTGGATTAAAAAAGAAAGATGATGGCAAACACTAACGGTGCGTCCACACGGCAGCGTCACGTTGAAGCTTGCCGGTGGGCGTGTCTGGCGTGCGACCAACAACCAATCACATTAATCTCCCGCCCCGGACACACAAGCATGCGGTTTGATTGGCTAGAGCTTGTACTGGCATATGATTTGATTGGCTGGCGCTTCCGTCGACGCTTGAAAAGTTGAACTTTTCTCCACTTTCGAAGCGAGCAACGGAGGCAAAGCGATGGAACCACAATGCAGTTCGGCAAAGCGTGACGTCACCCCATTCAAAGTGAAGGGGAAGCGTCTCCGTTGAAGCACGCGGCGGAGACGTGTGGACGTACCGTAAGGCATGTCTCTTTGTTTTATTTATACAACTGAACAAAGTAAAGAAGGTAAATACAAACTTTTATAAAGTGTTGTAACAGCCGATACTTGTTATTCCAAAACAACTTGTATCTCATAAATGTACCATCACTTTTCAAGATGCCTGCCACTGCCTCTCCTCTGCACATGAAGTTACAGTTTGAATGGCTTTGATGGATCTAAAGGACTCTTACTTGATGAGCACCACGCTGACCGTCTGCACTCCGGGGATCCGGTTGTAGTCCGACTCCAGCTGCAGGAAAAACAGATTAGAAGAAAACTTTATAGAATACAAATTGTAAAAGTAAAGTATGCGACAAAAAATACAAATGAAATAGAATACAAATATTTATATAAACAACAAGTTAAAGTAAAATATGCAATACAAATAAATAGGAATACAAATATGTATATAAATATAAAATGTTAACCTAAAAACGCATTTTGTAATAATAATCTGAATCTGTAAAGAAAGCTAAAGTTGTGAAATAAATTAAGTAAAGGTTCAGTTTTTGCTTGTAAAATGTAGTGGGAATATACTCAGGCAAAGTACAGTAAATATAACCTACGACATTATCAACATTATGAGTGTGCATGATGATGCAGGGTGGGTGGGGGGGCGTACCGTGTCCACCATGGCCTCGGAGATCTCGCTGAAGGCGGGGGAATAGATGTCCTCGAGCTCCGGGCCATACACCAGAGAGTTAGTGAAGTTAACGAGCGCCCGGTAGTAAACTGAAACACAGAGAGAACCAGAACCAGAGTCAGAACCAGAATCAGGATCAGACTCCAGAGGGCCAGACTCCAGAGGACCAGAGTCCAGAGGACCAGACTCCAGAGGACCAGACTCCAGAGGGCCAGACTCCAGAGGACCAGACTCCAGAGGGCCAGACTCCAGAGGGCCAGACTCCAGAGGGCCAGACTCCAGAGGACCAGACTCTAGAGGGCCAGACTCCAGAGGGCCAGACTCCAGAGGGCCAGACTCCAGAGGACCAGACTCCAGAGGGCCAGACTCCAGAGGACCAGACTCCAGAGGGCCAGACTCCAGAGGGCCAGACTCCAGAGGACCAGACGTTATAAACCACGTCCAGGATCAGGAGGTTCAGTTTATTACAGACGCTGTGACACAGGATCCTGTTCCCTGAGGAATATATCTGTGACTGTAAATGTGTATTTCAACTTGTATATTTTCTACTTTTTTATTTCTATTTGAGATGTGCACATTTTGGATTGTTTATTTCTAGTCTTCTAATCTCTCTAATGAACAATGCCATGTCTTTTTATGCTGCTGCAACGCAAACATTTCCCAAATTGAGATCAATAAAGTACTTCTTATCTTATCTGAGGGGAGGCACAGTCTGCACCAAGACACTGAAACACCTGGATTTAAAACACGTCTTCTTCTCTGGGGGGTCAAGGAGACAACATAGAAACTAACAGACTGTCTGGTAAAGGCAGAAGTGAGACATTGTCTGAAACAGGGATGTGAACTTCTGCTCATTCGGCTTCCCGTCTTTGTTGAATCCTGATCTATTTTCTGTCTGAACAGAAGTAGGTGTATGTTGGTATATTAGCGTACTCGGGCCGTTGTATTATCTCAGAGTCCAAACACAGTGTTGAAAACATCAGCTTACAGAAAGTACAAAGTGACCTTGTTCTACCTATGCAAGGTTTTTCTGAGAATAACATAGTATTAGAGCGTTTAAGTCACTTTTAAGTCCCGCCCACTTTCCAGTGAAAATACAGCATCAGAGCGAAGTGGGAAATAAAAGTGTCTCCACGTCTTAAAGCTGCCGAGTCATATTTTGCACCTCAAATACAAATAAATCCAGAGGTTTCTTTACTTCCTCTACGGACAAAAGGAAAAGACTCTCAGTGTCAGACCCACCGGACATCCATCCCATAATTATTCTCCGTAAAACAAAGCCGTCTCTGCCGCCTGACGCTCTGTTTGATGCTCATATTTCTCGAGTCAAAAATAAATACATCTAAAAAAATAAATAGAAATCTAACACTATTGAATTTCAATCTTCCATAAAGAAAGAATAGCAAAAATGTGTTTTTACGTATTAATCGAATTTAAATGGGAAGTTTAGACTTTGAATTTGCAACCTGTGTTTCTCTGCATCCAATATGTATGAGGACAGACCATATACAAGCTCTTATGTATGATACACGTGAGAGAAGCCCAGTTTGTTGTGCACCACAAAACTGCTTAATCTGTCCATGGCACACAGCCTCGTGAGTATGAGGGTTAGTTGCCCTGCAGGAACGACTGCTCCCCTGCAGGAACGACTGCTCCCCTGCAGGAACGACTGCTCCCCTGCAGGAACGACTGCTCCTCTGCAGGAACGACTGCTCCTCTGCAGGAACGACTGCTCCAAAGAGTTGCCCTGTAGGAACGACTGCTCCTAAGAGTTGCCCTGTAGGAACGACTGCTCCAAAGAGTTGCCCTGCAGGAACGACTGCTCCAAAGAGTTGCCCTGCAGGAACGACTGCTCCAAAGAGTTGACATCCCAAAAAGATGAATTCATCAAATCGAATGTTCCACTCCAGTTATAGATTTTGAAATGTTAAATATAATCCTCTGTGATAAACATCTAACAGATCTCTATGAGTAACTGATTATCAACACATCCTGGGTTTCTGTTAGTGGGTCTTGAGTTTCTGGGTTTCTGTCAGAGGGTCCTGGGTTTCTGTCTTTCTGTCAGAGGGTCCTGGGTTTCTGGGTTTCTGCCAATGAGTCCTGGGTTTCTGGGTTTCTGTCAATGGGTCTTGAGTTTCTGGGTTTCTCTCAGTGGGTCCTGGGTTTCTGTCTTTCTGTCAGAGGGTCCTGGGTTTCTGTCTTTCTGTCAGAGGGTCCTGGGTTTCTGGGTTTCTGGGTTTCTGTCTTTCTGCCAATGGGTCCTGGGTTTCTGTCAGAGGGTTCTGGGTTTCTGGGCTTCTGTCTTTCTGTCAGAGGGTCCTGGGTTTCTGGGTTTCTGTCTTTCTGCCAATGGGTCCTGGGTTTCTGTCAGAGGGTTCTGGGTTTCTGGGCTTCTGTCTTTCTGTCAGAGGGTCCTGGGTTTCTGTCTTTCTGTCAGAGGGTCCTGGGTTTCTGTCTTTCTGTCAGAGGGTCCTGGGTTTCTGTCTTTCTGTCAGAGGGTCCTGGGTTTCTGTCTTTCTGTCAGAGGGTCCTGGGTTTCTGGGTTTCCGTCTTACTGTCAGAGGGTCCTGGGTTTCTGGGTTTCTGTCTTTCTGCCAATGGGTCCTGGGTTTCTGTCAGAGGGTTATGGGTTTCTAGATATATGTCAATGGGTCTTGAGTTTCTGGGTTTCTGTCAGAGGGTCCTGGGTTTCTGTGTTTCTGCCAATGGGTCCTGGGTTTGTGGGTTTCTGTCAGAGGGTCCTGGGTTTCTGGGTTTCTATCAGAGGGTCCTGGGTTTCTGTCAATGGGTCTTGAGTTTCTGGGTTTCTGTCAGAGGGTCCTGGGTTTCTGGGTTTCTATCAGAGGGTCCTGGGTTTCTGGGTTTCTGTCAATGGGTCCTGGGTTTCTGGGTTTATGTCAGAGGGTCCTGGGTTTCTTTCAATGGGTATTGGGTTTCTGGGTTTCTATTAGAGGGTCCTGGGTTTCTGGATTTCTGTCAGAGGGTCCTGGGTTTCTGTCAGAGGGTCCTGGGTTTCTGTCAGAGGGTCCTGGGTTTCTGCCAATGGGTCCTGGGTTTCTGTCAGAGGGTCTTGGGTTTCTGGGTTTCTCTCAGAGGGTCCTGTGTTTCTTTCAATGGGTCTTGGGTTTCTAGATTTCTGTCAGAGGGTCTTGGGTTTCTGGGTTTCTCTCAGAGGGTCTTGGGTTTCTGGGTTTCTCTCAGAGGGTCCTGGGTTTCTGTCAATGGGTCTTGGGTTTCTGGGTTTCTGTCAGAGGGTCCTGGGTTTCTGGGTTTCTGGGTTTCTGGCAATGGGTCCTGGGTTTCTGTCAGAGGGTCCTGGGTTTCTGTCAATGGGTCTTGAGTTTCTGGGTTTCTGTCAGAGGGTCCTGGGTTTCTGGGTTTCTATCAGAAGTTCCTGGGTTTCTGGGTTTCTGTCAATGGGTCTTGAGTTTCTGGGTTTCTGTCATTGGGTCTTGGGTTTCTGGGTTTCTAGATTTCTGTCAGAGGGTCCTGGGTTCCTGCCAATGGGTCCTGGGTTTCTGTCAGAGGGTCTTGGGTTTCTGGGTTTCTCTCAGAGGGTCTTGGGTTTATGGGTTTCTCTCAGAGGGTCCTGGGTTTCTGGGTTTCTGTCAATGGGTCCTGGGTTTCTGGGTTTATGTCAGAGGGTCCTGGGTTTCTTTCAATGGGTCTTCGGTTTCTGGGTTTCTATTAGAGGGTCCTGGGTTTCTGGATTTCTGTCAGAGGGTCCTGGGTTTCTGTCAGAGGGTCCTGGGTTTCTGTCAGAGGGTCCTGGGTTTCTGCCAATGGGTCCTGGGTTTCTGTCAGAGGGTCTTGGGTTTCTGGGTTTCTCTCAGAGGGTCCTGGGTTTCTGTCAATGGGTCTTGGGTTTCTAGATTTCTGTCAGAGGGTCCTGGGTTCCTGGGTTTCTGCCAATGGGTCCTGGGTTTCTGTCAGAGGGTCTTGGGTTTCTGGGTTTCTCTCAGAGGGTCTTGGGTTTCTGGGTTTCTCTCAAAGGGTCCTGGGTTTCTGGGTTTCTGTCAATGGGTCCTGGGTTTCTGGGTTTATGTCAGAGGGTCCTGGGTTTCTTTCAATGGGTCTTCGGTTTCTGGGTTTCTATTAGAGGGTCCTGGGTTTCTGGATTTCTGTCAGAGGGTCCTGGGTTTCTGTCAGAGGGTCCTGGGTTTCTGTCAGAGGGTCCTGGGTTTCTGCCAATGGGTCCTGGGTTTCTGTCAGAGGGTCTTGGGTTTCTGTGTTTCTCTCAGAGGGTCCTGGGTTTCTGTCAATGGGTCTTGGGTTTCTAGATTTCTGTCAGAGGGTCCTGGGTTCCTGGGTTTCTGCCAATGGGTCCTGGGTTTCTGTCAGAGGGTCTTGGGTTTCTGGGTTTCTCTCAGAGGGTCTTGGGTTTCTCTCAGAGGGTCCTGGGTTTCTGTCAATGGGTCTTGGGTTTCTGGGTTTCTGTAAGAGGGTCCTGGGTTTCTGGGTTTCTGGATTTCTGTCAGAGGGTCTTGGGTTTCTGGGTTTCTTTCAATGGGTCTTGGGTTTCTTTCAGAGGGTCCTGGGTTTGTGTCAATAGGTCCTTTGTTTCTGGGTTTCTGTCAGAGGGTTCTGGGTTTCTAGGTTTCTGTCAATGGGTCCTTTGTTTCTGGGTTTCTGTCAGAGGGTTCTGGGTTTCTAGGTTTCTGTCAATGGGTCCTGGGTGTCTGGGTTTCTGTCAATGGGTCCTGGGTGTCTGGGTTTTTGTCAGAGGGTCCTGGTTTTCTGTCAATGGGTCCTTTGTTTCTGGGTTTCTGTCAGAGGGTCCTGGGTGTCTGGGTTTCTGTCAAAAGGTCCTGGGTTTCTGTCAGAGGGTCCTGGGTGTCTGGGATTCTGTCAGTGGGTCCTGGGTTTCTGTCAAAGGGTCCTGGGTTTCTGTCAGAGGGTCCTGGGTTTCTCTCAGTGGGTCCTGGGTTTCTCTCAGTGGGTCTCGGGTTTCTGGGTTTCTGTAAGAGGGTCCTGGGTTTCTGGGTTTCTGGATTTATGTCAGAGGGTCTTGGGTTTCTGGGTTTCTTTCAATGGGTCTTGGGTTTCTATCAGAGGGTCCTGGGTTTCTGGATTTTTGTCTGAGGGTCCTGGGTTTGTGTCAATAGGTCCTTTGTTTCTGGGTTTCTGTCAGAGGGTTCTGGGTTTCTAGGTTTCTGTCAATGGGTCCTGGGTGTCTGGGTTTCTGTCAATGGGTCCTGGGTGTCTGGGTTTTAGTCAGAGGGTCCTGGGTTTCTGTCAATGGGTCCTTTGTTTCTGGGTTTCTGTCAGAGGGTCCTGGGTGTCTGGGTTTCTGTCAAAGGGTCCTGGGTTTCTGTCAGAGGGTCCTGGGTGTCTGGGATTCTGTCAGTGGGTCCTGGGTTTCTGTCAAAGGGTCCTGGGTTTCTGTCAGAGGGTCCTGGGTTTCTGTCAGAGGGTCCTGGGTTTCTCTCAGAGGGTTCTGGGTGTCTGGGTTTCTGTCAAAGAGTCCTGGGTTTCTGGGATTCTGTCAGAGGGTCCTGAGTTTCTCTCAGTGGGTCCTGGGTTTCTGTCAATGGGTCCTGGATTTCTGTCGGACTCCAGGAGGGTCTTTTGGTCCTGATTCTGCACGGCTAACATCAAAGACCCTGATCAAAGCGCCTCCTCTGACCCGCTCATAATCTGATCACTCTCTGATTAGCGCGCTACGCTAACGAGACGCTCTGTTCTGTTTACAGCGGGGTAAAACATTCCTGCCTCTTAACTCTCAAACGTCTGTAGCGGTAAAGAGGCCGCACCATGGGGGCTTTGTTTCCCTGCGGGCCCCTCTGGAGGCTTGAGGCACACAAAGACCTGATTGAGCAGCGAGTCGGACTTTAAAAGCCCACCGGGACGACCTTTGACCCCCAAACACTGCAGCCACGGCATCGAACTGCACATTTACAGAGGAACCTTAACTTTTACTTTATTGTTTGCCCCTCTTGTTTGTTTGTTTGTTCACCATTTAAAGCGGCCTTTGGTCCCTTGAAGTTATCACTGGAATAAACCATATTTAAATGTGTCTTAATGTACATTATGTAATTTCATATTCTGTTCTTGGACATATCATATTCTATTCACATGGATACAGACTTCTTGCACTATTTTGTATTTGCATTTTATGATATGTTGCATCGTTGGACGAGCTCAGGTCAGAAGGACATCATTTCCATTTCTGCACTGAGGCTGCTGAGCATGTGATGAGAAGACCTTTGAATTGAAAGGCGCTATACAAATGTAATCTATTGTTATTATTATTATGAACCAGAACCACTGAGGCACAGGTGGATAGAAACTGTACCTGACAGACATCACCATGAACCCCCTCCCCCCACTTCATTACTTACATTGTCTTTACATGTTTATTGTACAACGTATTTTGATGCTGCTGCAACACAAACATTTCCCATCAATAAAGTACTTCTTATCTTATCTTAAGACAGTTGTAATGCTAATGCTAATAGGATACATCTGCAGACACTTAGACTTGTTTTGGAAGCTAAATCAGCCCTTAGGTTAGGAGACCCACACCCCATCATGTCATCATGCTGTCACTGAGGGGGGGGGGGGGGGGGGGGGAGCAAAACATGACTTTCTAATCGTTTAACATTTATTAGAATTATGGCATTTTTATTACTAATATCTTTTTATTTGTATTGCTGTGGTACCTATATGTTCACTTTGTTTTTTGGGGTTTTATATTGTTGCATGGATGAACTTATTGATTGATTTGTATGATCACACCTTGTACCTCCTGGTGTCCCCCAACCTGTTGAAAGCTTGTGTCTGTAAATTCTTAACAAATAATCTGAGGGGATTTCTTGTTGTTTATTTTTAACTTGTTGTTTAGCACTTTGAGCTGCATGTGTTGTATGAAGAGTGCTGTATAAATAAAGCTTTATTATTATTACTGAGGGAGCTCAAGGCACGTAGCCCATAAACTACATGTCCCACAATGCATCTCATTGTGTGACACTGAAGAGACATGCATTCATTAGCTAACAATGACATTATTGTTCTATTGATATAAAGGGAGGTCAGGTACTCTTTAAAGCAGCTGCTAGCTATGGGTACTTTTTACTGAAGGACACTTCAAAGCCTCTTTACTTTGACTTGAGGAAAGAAGTTTAGTCAGTACTTCTACTTTCACCAGAGTATTTTTAAACACGAGTATCTGTACTTCTACTTGAGTAAAGGATACCATTACTGAGAGGGGGGGGGGGGTAAAGAGAGAGAGAGAGAGACTTACTGAGGTCCGGTTCAAAGGAGCTCTGAATGTTCCCCGGAGAGGAAGAGTCCATCTCTGTGAGGAGCAGCGAGGAAGAGGAGGAAGAGGAGGAGGGGGACGCAGACAGGGGTCGGAGGTCAAGGACCGAACAAGGAAAGCAACACAAGAAGAAGAGAGGGGTCGAGTTAGGGGCAGAGAGGTTAAAAGGTCAAGAGACAGGAAGTGAAGCCGGGAGGGAAATACACAAAGTCTGTTTCCACGGAGACGTTGTTCAAAACTACCAGAAACAACTTGCCCTGAATCAATCTGCAGAAGAGTGACAGTTTAAGCTGACGTGAACCCTGACCCCACGAAGAGCTCCAACGCTACTTCAAGAAATTCAAATGGAGAAAAAAGTATGAAAAATCCAAAGCGCTGAAAACAAACAGATCAAGTCACATGACTGATCAGCTGTTCCTGCAGACGTCCAACACATCTGCTCAAAGGTATTCAAGTGTTACTCAAACACATTTCCAAATATTAAGTTAAACATTTCAACCAAATCATCTGAGGGTGTGAAAGAAGTTGAAAGAAAAAGTAAATATAAAGTAAAAGAAAGGTCTTGAAATGCAGATGAATCCTTTCTATGAAAGAAAGGGTCACCAAAAAGAAAAGTAGACGTTTGCAGTTCAGCCCTTCCTCTGTGTCCGGGAAGATCAGAGGGCATCACACACACACACACACACACACACACACACACACACACACACACACACACACACACACACACACACACACACACACACGACACACACCACACACACACACACACACACACACACACACACACACACACACACACACACACACCACACACACACACACACACACACACACACACACACACACACACACACACACACACACACACACACACACACACACACATACACACACACACACACCACACACACACACACACACACACACACACACACACACACACACACACACACACACACACACACACACACACACACACACACACACACACACACACACACACACACACACACACACACACACACACACACACACACACACACACACACACACACACTTCCTGTTTTCCCTCAATGGAAAGAACTGAGCATTAACATGTATTTTTTCACACTGAGTGAATCTGCTGTGTGTTCAGTGTGTGTGTGTGTGTGTGTGTGTGTGTGTTGTGTGTGTGTTGTGTGTGTGTGTGTGTGTGTGTGACTCACTCTCCAGACTCTCACACCCCGGGGGAAATGTCAGCGAGACAAAGCTCTGAGGAGGAGAGGGAGCTGAAACACAGCTCTGTTATCAGAATGAAACACACTCAGTGTTTCATTCTGCAGTCGAAGCTCCACAGCCCACACACACACACACACACACACACACACACACACACACACACACACACCACACACACACACACACACACACACACACACACACACACACACACACACACACACACACACACACACACACACACACACACACACACACACACACACACACACACACACACACACACACACACACACACACACACACACACACACACACACACACACACACACACACACACACACACACACACACACACACACACACACACACACACACACACACACACACACACACACACACACACACACACACACACAGCAGATTCAGTGAAACAAATACATGTTAATGCTCAGCTCCTCTTCACTTCACACTCATCTCCTTCAGCTCCTCTTCACTTCACACTAGAGGGAAGTGCGGTGGCCTGGACGCTCACAGCTTGGTGACAGTCAGGATGTGAAAGCTAGTGAGGACATGAGGACTTTTCTACTTATCAGTTCCTCTGAGGGTCTAACTAGTCCAAAGGCTCTCAGACTCTAAAGGCTCTCAGACTCCAAAGGCTCTCAGACTCCAAAGGCTCTCAGACTCTAAAGGCTCTCAGACTCCAAAGGCTCTCAGACTCCAAAGGCTCTCAGACTCCAAAGGCTCTCAGACTCTAAAGGCTCTCAGACTCTAAAGGCTCTCAGACTCCAAAGGCTCTCAGACTCCAAAGGCTCTCAGACTCCAAAGGCTCTCAGACTCCAAAGGCTCTCAGACTCTAAAGGCTCTCAGACTCCAAAGGCTCTCAGACTCCAAAGGCTCTCAGACTCCAAAGGCTGCCTCATCTGACGAGTTGGGAGAGGAACCAGGTTCAGATAAGTAGAGAGATCTTTTGTAAATCACTAAATCCATCCCCCTGCAGAGCTCACAGAGTGATGCGTCCCAGAGGAGGGTTTGATCTGATCTGGGAACGTGTTGAATAGGAAGCAGCAGACAAATAAACTCTGTTAGTCAGGTCTGTCTGCAGCAGGAGGATCAGCTCTGTTAGTCAGGTCTGATCAGCTCTGTTAGTCAGGTCTGTCTGCAGGAGGAGGATCAGCTCTGTTAGTCAGGTCTGATCAGCTCTGTTAATCAGGTCTGTCTGCAGGAGGAGGATCAGCTCTGTTAGTCAGGTCTGATCAGCTCTGTTAGTCAAGTATGTCTGCAGGAGGAGGATCATCTCTGTTAGTCAGGTCTGATCAGCTCTGTTAGTCAGGTCTGTCTGCAGGAGGAGGTTCAGCTCTGTTAGTCAGGTCTGATCAGCTCTGTTAGTCAGGTCTGTCTGCAGGAGGAGGATCAGCTCTGTTAGTCAGGTCTGTCTGCAGGAGGAGGATCAGCTCTGTTAGTCAGGTCTGTCTGCAGGCAACAGGCTGGTCTCCAGGCAACAGGCTTATTATGGGACAACAGAGCAGTGCATCATGGGACAGGTGAAGGGGCAAAGACCAATCAATTAACTCTAATCAGCCAGAGTCAACATGCCCCTCGCCTTCAGGCTCCCAGCATGCAACAGAGACCAGAATAACTGCAGTAACACTCGTGTGTTGTCAGACATAATATGATGGTGTTACAGTATGATGAAGGCATTAGGAGGACACACACCTGGCCAGGACCCGGGGGGGGGGGGATGAAGGCATTAGGAGGACACACACCTGGCCAGGACCCGGGGGGGGGGATGAAGGCATTAGGAGGACACACACCTGGCCAGGACCCGGGGGGGGGGGTCCTGCCGACTGAACACAGACACAACATCAGACGGACCACGAGATATTTTGATCGTTATCTTTGAGCAGCGGAGTTCATCAGATGTCGACCGAAGCCTGATGTTTAGGGAGACTTCCCGAGCAGTGCTGCTACTTCCAACAAAGCACACAGCCGTGAGGGGGGTCTCCATCGACAACATGTGAGGGGGGTCTCCATCGACAACATGTGAGGGGGGTCTCCATCGACAACATGTGAGGGGGGTCTCCATCGACAACATGTGAGGGGGGTCTCCATCGACAACATGTGAGGGGGGTCTCCATCGACAACATGTGAGGGGGGGTCTCCATCGACAACATGTGAGGGGGGTCTCCATCGACAACATGTGAGGGGGGTCTCCATCGACAACATGTGAGGGGGGTCTCCATCGACAACATGTGACAGGTGCCTTAGGGCTACTAAAACACTGCAGCCCTGAATCCCAGCCCTGCATCCCCCCACTGCAGCCCTGCATCCCCCCCCCCACTACAGCCCTGCATCCCCCCCCCCCACTACAGCCCTGCATCCCCCCCCACTGCAGCCCTGCATCCACCCCCCACTACAGCCCTGCATCCCCCCCCCCACTACAGCCCTGCATCCCCCCACTGAATCCCCCCACTGAATCCCCCCACTGCAGCCCTGCATCCCCCCCCCCACTGCAGCCCTGCATCCCCCCCCCCACTGCAGCCCTGAATCCCCCCCCCCCCCCCCTGCAGCTGCTCCGTGGGACCCCTGGAGGGCTAAATGATCATAGCAACCCGTCCTGGAGCATAACTACAGAGCGTGTGTTCTGCTTCTGTGTCCTCGCGTCTGGAGCCATGAACAACAAATGAGAGAAACACTTCACCTCAGGACGTTAGCTTCCACACAGAGGAAAGGGAGTGTGTTTCCTGATCTGAGGGTCTCCGCCCCCCCCAGGTGCCACTCTATGCCTGCCTTCCTGTTGTCGTGCCATCTGCTGATGTGAGGAATCCTCTTTTGTCTGCGTGCAGCGGAGCAGGAACACAGATACCCTGACCCTTATCAGCGCCTGTGATCTCCCCCTCCTCGTCCCCCTCCGCGTCCCCCTCCGCGCCCCCCTCCTCGTCCCCCTCCTCGTCTCCCTTGGCATGAGGAGCAGACCCTGCAG